CCATGGGAAGATTGATAGCAGTTGCTTGCCTTAAGAATAAAGAATGGGGAGCTTTTTTTTTTTTTTTAAGAACTGACCCAATTTTGGACAACACCTAGGCATTGTTAGCTAGGTCTGAATATAGGCATATTTCAAAGAGCCACTTGTCTAACACACAGTAGATGATTGCCTAGGCAAGCTTGCCTTTTACCTGCCTCTTGCCATCTGGCTTTCTATATAAGGAACAGATTTTACCCTCTGTGGCCTGCTTGTTATTACCTTAATAACTGAGCAGCTGGTCTTAAGCATTTATGTCCTTAATACTAGGCCACACTATCAGGTCGAAGGTCTGATTTTGGGACTGGGGTTGTTCTCGAGCACCAGCCAAAGTGCAGCTAGGGAGCTTATGCTTGTGATAGCTCCACCTCTGTGAGCCTTCCTTTGCTAGGACTGGAATTTAGCCTATCAGGTACCTCTTGTCATGTTACAAGGGCCCAGGGAAACCTGTAGTCATAGGATTTTAGAGCAGAAAGGGAAATCGGAATGTGTACATTTAGCACGTCTGGCTCCACAAAGTCTGGCTCTCATAGCTCCTGTAGGGACCTGGAACTGAATAAATGTGTTTCATTGTGATATCTAGTTGTTGTTAATCCAAGAGGTGAATTGTCTAAACAGCAGACACAGAAAGCAAATAATCCAGACTCTTACAGTTTAGCCAGGCTTATGGACTGACCATTTAGTTTTCCACCCTAAAATTTACCGAGCATGAACTTTATGTCAAGCACCAGTCTGATGCTTTACAAATATTAACTCATTTCCCAGCACTCTGAGATAGGTGCTATTTTCCCCCACTTCACGGGTAAGTAAATTAAAGCACAAATAAATGGTTTAAGCAACATGGCTCAGGTCACAACCACAAAATGGAAGGATTTGAACACAGGCAGTCTGGCTTGAGAGCTTGTGCTCTTAACGACTAAAACTCATACCCTTTCTCGTATCTAACCAGTATTACCCTCATGGCAGAGAGTGAAAAAGTAAATCTAGATTCCGTAATAGTAGATTCCAAGAATGCTTTAACTGCTTACATTGTCTACCCTAATGAAGGTGCCAGGATTCTGGAGGAGACTATAGCAGAAACCAAGAAACTTAGGCTCTGATTTCTTGCCTGGTTTCCCAGGAATGAGTGCATTCACAATCATCAACTCATAAGGTTGAAAATAATATTTTAGTGACAGCTGTTGTACACCTGAGTTAAGGAGAACCAACAGCTATCGTGGACCTACTAGGTGTCGGTTTCTGCTGGGTCTCTGTATGTGTTACCTCGCTGAGGGATCTCAGCAAATGTGAGAGTGTTATCCCTGTTTTACAGATGAGAAAATGAGGTTTGTACAGCAACATTTCCCACTTACTATGTTCTAAAGAATGCTGGTGTCTGATATCTCTCAAGGTGCCTGTTAGAAAGGCAAGGGATAGGGGAGGAGGGGTGGATTTTATGGCCAAAAATGTTTGGGAAATGCTGCTTTATAAAAAGCAGCATTATATCCTTCTGTACTATCAGTCCCCATCCCTACCAAGAGTCTATGTTAAAAGGCTTTGAGAAGTCCTTCAGTAAAGAAAACCTATTCAAATTTGTTAATCTGGTATTTCCCAAACATACTTGATCACAAAATCATATTTTCAGTGGCAGATACTGAAAAAAAGTTTATTCAGTTGTTCAAATCATGGTTTTGGGAATCACTGTCTTAGAGTACTGACCTGCCAAGGTCGCATGGCAGGTGGAGCCGGGCGTGAGGCCCGGCTCTGCGTGTCCCCCCACCCTGAGCTCTCATGCCAACCCATCTGCCTCCAGACACCTTGAAAGTGCGGCTGTTTTTCCCTGACTGCATCGTTCGGATACTGTTATGACTTTTTTTAAGTGTCAGATTTTGAGTGACCAAGTCTGGTACCTATTTCCATTCCAATATGAACATTGAAACAAGTATTATCACCACCATTCCTACCTTCCATAGTTCACTAGAAAGCCGGTAATTGATTACATAGCCTTAAAGCTGTATACAATTACCATTTTGAACATGATTCAACTTTTTTTTTTTAATGTTCCTAATTTTTCCCTTCCCCAAAGACTCTTCAAAGTTAACTCCCACCAAACAAACCTATTAAATGATCTACTGCCTCCTGACATCATAAAGAACAGAATTGTTCCCAAAACTCACCCCTAGTCATCCTGGTTTTTCATGTCCTTCAGAAATCATCTCACACACTCTGTAAGTGAGGTAGCCCACATGTATTACTACAAAGGAGGAGGATATTCCCTGAAAATTGTCTTCTCTAGCAGTCTAACATGTGGAAAAACCAGCCTGGAGAGCAGCTCAAAGATGCCACTTTATGCGTTGAGCCAGACAGAATCCTCTCTGCCCAGGGACCAAACATCACAGCTCCCCTTCTACAGAAGTTCCTTCCCCACCAAGTGTGCGGGGCTTCTCTCCATCCCTCCCCTGCACTTTGGAGAAGTGCCATCAGGCCCCAGCAGAGGCCCACCCACTCTCTGACCACCCATCTCAGCTGGGCCACGTCTTGCTGATCAAGGTTCATTGTCACCAAAACAGTTGTTGGGAAGCAATGGTTTCTAATCCTTGGAGAACTCTACTTTTAACATCTAGTAGTATCCTCAAGGGTTGGAGGCTCAGATCTCTTATGTCAGAAAACAATCCAGAATTGTTCATAGGAATGGTGTAAGGGTGGTATAAGCTGTTACAGGTAAAACTTATAGAACAATGCCTAGTACAGAGTAAGTAATTTACTTGCTGTAAATTTTAGCAACATCAGTTATGGAAACAGAATAGCCAAAGTTGATTTATTATAAGATAGTTACTGAGTGATAGGAAGTCCAATTACATTTGGGGAGAATTTTATTTTTTATTTTTTTGAGGTATGCGGGCCTCTCACTGTTGTGGCCTCTCCCGTTGCGGAGCACAGGCTCCTGACGCGCAGGCTCAGCGGCCATGGCTCACGGGCCCAGCCGCTCCGTGGCATGTGGGATCCTCCCGGACCGGGGCACAAACCGGCGTCCCCTGCATCGGCAGGCGGACTCTCAACCACTGTGCCACCAGGAAAGCCTGAGAATTTTATTTTTTAAATTTTTATTATATTAAGTTTGATAAAAGATAATTATTTAACCAAAAAAAAATTCCATGTGAGAGGGAGAAGCTGACAATAATGTTGGTTCTTCCCTAATCATTTCTGTGACATTTATCACCTTTCTTCAGAAACCTCTACATCTATATTTGAAAGAAAAAAATTGAGGAAAACAAAGGACTGGGGAGTTTGTAACTTCTTCAAAAGTATAAGGAAATAATTGTTTTATATGAATATATGAGATAAAGCCTCACCTTGTCAAAATTCGAACTAAATTTTTTGTCAAGTAAGATAGTCATGATGATCAGGTATTAATTGGTTATCCATTGAGGTGCAGAAAGGTGTGTTTTATGTAAAATTGTATCTAACTATAAAACCTTTTATAAAATCTATTTATGAGGTAATAGGTTTCTGCTTTAAAATAATGGATAAAAAGATGATGTGTATTACGTGGTAAAAGAATTCCTGGATACTGATGTGATATGTTACACCCAGGAAAAAAAGGCCTTGGGATTTCCAGCTTGAATAATTTGACAACTTGTGGGACTATTAATAAAACTAGGGGTATCAGGGGAAGAGGGGAATATATGGAGGAATGATGATGGAGGTTTGTCTTAGACAGCAATCCTCAGGGTCAGGGGTGGAGTGGCAGGGGTATGTTAAAATGTTCGGGCGAAGAAGTATTAGCATTAAGGAGTTGGGAAATCCTGTTTTTGCATGAACTGAGTTTGAGGTTTTGATGGAATAGCCAGATGGAGTTGACTAACGATAAGGTGGCAGCACAGACGATTACTATTTCTGAGTCCACTACGTACTAGACTCCGAAGTAGGTATGTGGATGCACTGTCTTACCCAACCTCAACATAGAGCTGACTAGTCTCTCTTAGGAAATTGTCCTCAGAGGGTTTGGATCATTTGGACTTAAACCCAGGCCTCTCTTTTGCCAGAGTCCCAGTTCTTATTCTGATCCCCTGGGAATAATACAGTTATTCATACTTACGCTGTTGTATCTTTATAAGAAAAAAATGCATCTGGACTTGTTAGTGCCTTATTAAAATAGTGGAATAATATGTAGACTGTACATGTTTATAAAAATAAATGGGTTATTTGTGGTTTTAACTTTCCCCTCAGTTTATCTATCACACACAATTACTCCTTTTCTATCTACATGACATGACAGATATAGTTTGTCCCACTTCTCCCTTCCGGCTTACCTGCTGACAGTACCACCCATGACAACAGATTTAGGACTTTACAAATGTCTATTAATTTGCTATATGCTTTTAAGCTGTAGTGGTTCAGAGGAAAAAAATATATCAGTGCTTAAAATATTCTTCCTAATTCTGATGACTGATTCAACTTTTTTATGTAACTGACAAATACCTAATGGAAGAATGGTGTTTACACTACACACCATGCTTAGGCTTTCCAGTTAAGCCAAGTTCCAGGTTCTTTGCTTAGAAAATACCCACCTTGAGCCTCCTAAGAAGTCAACAAAGTAGTTATCAATAGTAATGCCCCCTTATCTTGGTGACAGTGTCCACAGGGAGTTGTTAAGTTGCTTTAAATTATTAGGCAAACTAGAGCTTACTGAGTTAAATACAAATCATAGCAGAACAGTTTGGGATGAAAGAAAGAAGAACTTAAAGGATTTCTCCATGAAACACAAAAATTACTTATATAAATAGTAAGACCTTTCTAGATCACAGAATCTTAGATAGCCAGACAGTTATTTTTTTTTCCCTCCCAACTCATAGCCCTTACCTCAGGAATTAAGAGATTTAGTGGGAAGTTTAGATCGATTTTAATGTGTGTTAGATATGTATGTGTCTGTCTAGTTAACATCTCTAACTCATGATATTTTTCATTATTCATTGTCCCCCTAGATACGAAATGTGGAAACAAATCAGTGTCTAGATAACATGGCTAGAAAAGAGAATGAAAAAGTTGGAATTTTTAACTGTCACGGTATGGGAGGTAATCAGGTGAGTATTTTAGTAAAGCTTTAAAGGGGTAATTTTTGGATTCCTTCCTTTTTTATTTCATGACATCATTCAGGAAATATTTTCCTACCTTTAAAGAGAAAATAATAAAGACCTTTAGGAGAATAGAGCCTTCAATCTAATGATTATTTTTTAAATGAAACATTTGTAAAAGGCCCTTTCTGAGAACTGTGTTTACATTGTTGTACATGAGATTTATTCTGCCCTTTTTAGTCAAACAGATGACAACCCTTGACAGTACACTCAGTATATACAGAGAACTTAAGATCATTTTTTTTTTCTTCTCTGCAAAAATAGTGGTGTCTTTTCTGAGTCATTTATTCTCCATTACACTAATAAAGTTCAAAAAGCATGTATCTTGAAATACTTGTCTTTTTCCCTGCCAGATTCTTGGGCATATAAAATGCTAATTTATTTTGCTGTTAACGCTTCTATGTGTGCATTTTTGTTTTTCAGGTTTTCTCTTACACTGCCAACAAAGAAATTAGAACAGATGACCTTTGCTTGGATGTCTCCAAACTTAATGGCCCAGTCACAATGCTCAAATGCCACCACCTAAAAGGCAACCAACTTTGGGAGTATGATCCGGTGGTAAGTTATCCAGTTGAATATAGGAATAAAATTGGGTGTCATTGGGTATATTGTATAAAATACTTTATATCTAAGAGAGTGAATTCTTGTGGAATATGCATATGGATCAAATTGTTCTTATATTCCAAGAATTGCCAGATAGGAAAAGCAATATAAGTAAAATAAACATGTTTTAATCTCTCCAGTAATTAAATTAGAATTGCCTCCAGTCCCTGGGTCCTTGTTGTTACTATGTAATCACTCTTCCCTCCATATGTCCTTAAGCTTTGCCAGCCACTGTGGTAGAAATGGAACGGTTAAGTAGGCTTTTAAAACTACCGAATGAAACACTGAGGTAAAAGGTGAGATTTAATTAATGAAATTCTCTGGCTCAATGATTTTTCAGTGACATATATAATAAAACTATTTGTCTTTGCTTTCCTCTGGAGCCACTCCCTCTCCCCACCTGCTATATGTTGTACTCAAATAGAGGTACTTAAAAGCAATCAAAGCATCTCCAGTAAACCTCTCTTCCTTTCCTCATACCTGGCTAACCTCCCAACTCATGCTTTTTTGCTCTATGGTTCTGGAACCAGCAGCAGCATCTTCAATATCTCTTCCTCTGGTTCTTTTTCTTCCGCTTACAAGCACTGGTTTTCTTCTTCATGTCGGGACAGACTTTTGTTCCTATTTTATTTTCCACATACCATCCTACTTTTCTCCTGTGCTGTATGATGGCGAGTGAATGGCTGGCACTTGTGCCTCTGGTTCTTCAACCTTGCTCCTGCCTTGATCTGACACTATATAGAAACAGCCCCTGGATGCAAAGCCAGGACATTCTCGTCTCTTAACTTCTCTGTAGCATTTACTATTGCTAAGCAGATGATCTTTTAAAATCCTCTTATCCATTGGCTTTAGATGCACTACTGTTTAGTTTCTTCTCTTAGCTTTTTCTCTACTTCTTCTGTCTGCTTGGCTCACTCTGCTGCTTCATTCCACCCCCTCAGTGGAGATGTTCAAACCAAGTTGTGACTTTGGCTGTCTTTCCTCCATATACTGCATCACATACAAACCCTGGTCTACTTTTCATCTTCGACCAGCTATTCCCTGAATGTATCCTGTACTTTCCCACTTTACATTTAAGATCATACAGTTCCATCTGCCTAACAAATCCTGCCTGTTCTTGAGAGCCCAGAATTGACATCACTTCCATGGATCCCAGCCAGAAATTAGCTCTCTCTGTCTTAATTACAATTGTCTCTGACCCCTGTAATTCTGTGCTGCTTTGTAGTTATTTATCTACCAGTCTTTTTCTCCACTATTAGTTAGATCCTGGAGGGCAAAGACCATGTTTTATAAATCCTGGGTCTCCCTTCACAGTATCAAACTATAGTTAAAAAAAAAGTGTGTGTGTGTGTGTGTGAGAGAGAGAGCGAGAGAGAGAGCAGTAGCTCAGTTAATATGACTATTGGAAGTGGCCTGAATATTCTGTTGCAGGGTTTTCCATGGTGCATGCTGTTGCCATTTTGGGTGCCCCAGGTCCTGCAGGATATATGGCATCTCTGAGTCCAGACAGTAAATGCCAGTGGCACCCCACAGTCATTGTGAAGCCAAAATATTTTGAAAATTAAAAAGCCTCCCAATTGTATATGTTCATTGAAAAATGATGGTATGTTTAATTAGGTAACATAAACCTATTTATAGTAGCATGAACAAATAGTGATTTATTCTTTTCTTAAGTCTGGATGTAAGTGGCTTCTGGCATGGATTCAGTGATACAGTGATGTCAGGGATAACATTGCAGCAATATTCTTGGCTTTTTCTTGTGGCCTGTAGAAGGCTGCTACAGTGCTCACCATCACACCCAACTCAAGACGGGAAGAAGGGAAGAGGAATGTTGCACTACTGCTTGAATTGCTCTTTATCAGGAAGGCCAAAGCTTTTCCTGGATCCCCTGCAGCAGGCTCTGCTGTGCCCCATGGGCCAGAACTTCATCTCATAGTGATCCCCCAGCTATAAGGGGAGGCTGGGAAAGCAGGCATTTGCATGTGATGTGGCCAGGAGACCCGGAGTGGGAATGGCCATTGGCAGACTGTGTATAAGATACACAGTCTAGGGCTTCCCTGGTGGCTCAGTGGTTGAGAGTCCGCCTGCCGATGCAGGGGACACGGGTTCGTGCCCCGGTCCGGGAAGATCCCACATGCCGCAGAGCGGCTGGGCCCGTGAGCCATGGCCGCTGAGCCTGCGCATCCGGAGCCTGTGCTCTGCAACGGGAGAGGCCACAGCAGTGAGGGGCCCGCGTACGCAAAAAAGAAAAAAAAAAAGATACACAGTCTACCACAACAGTTATTCAAAAGTAAATGTTTGTTTGCTTAGAAATTAAGGAGCTAGAAGTGATTTCGGATATTTTGAAAGAACCAGTTATGAGTGTAAAGTTTTAAAACCCCTGGAGCACTCTGCAAGGTGTCTTCCCTGAGATTAAATTCTAGTATTGCTGGCTGGGTTCTCCCAGAAGCAGACTCCACTCCAAGGTTAGTGTTCAGGATGTTTATTAGGGAGCATCCTTTAGATCAACACCTGTGAAAAGGGAGACAGAAGAATTGGCAGAGGGAGGAGTCAAGCTGCGATGTGGGTCCCACAGTCTGAGCTGACTGCACAGGGAGCTCCGGACGGCCCATCAGAGTTGTCCTGCCTCCATCAGTTGAAAACTGCAGTCTGGAAGAATAACACTTATGTCAGTAATGTATAATCTAAAGTCATGAAATCTTAGATTTCAAAGGAACCCTAGAAATAAAATTCAGGACATTGTTTTTAATACATGTAGACATCGAAGCCCAGAATGGAAGTTAATTGCCCAAGGTCACAGAGCAGGTAAATGGTGTTACCAGATCTCAGACAGACCTGGGATTCTTAATCCAGGATTCTTTGCACAATACCATACTGTCTTCTATTAAATTTGTATATTATATCTTTAAGTCTTGTTTATAGTATACATTGCAGAGAGTTTAGGACACCAGTCTCTTTTGCTTTGACTACTTGTAGCTGTCCTTTCTGGAATGAAAATGTAGATTTGGACACAGTTATATCTAGAGATTAGGGGTAGAGGGCGGCAAATTATTTTTTTTCTAGGTTGCAGGTGGAATTTATGCAATGATAACTATAGCTTTCATCCTCCTTTCAGAGGTTACAATTAGCCTGTTGCCTTAGTTACACTCTTTCTGTGTGGAAACTAGTCCATGCTGATGGATCCTCTGCTGAGTACGGTGACCACAGTCCCCACAGAGTCACGAGCCACAGAACTCTGCCCCTTCTGTCAGCCAGAGCTGTGTCTGGAACAGGGCTCTTCACCAGAGTCCTGGTCTCCTGAAGGGATGTTAGCTTCCTGAAATTATAGGGATTCTGTCTTAATTTTGAGCAGTTAAATACCCAGCATGTATCAGTAACCTCTTTGTTACAAGTTTATTTTAATGATTCTCAATAAGTGAAATAATGACATTTTTAAAAATTAGGGTGATAAAGACCAATTTCCCAACTAAGTTTGTTTTTTTGTTTTTATTAATACCGACAGTGGGCCTGATGAAGGTGGCCACTCAGAGAAGCTTGGAAGGGCCTTCTGGAATGTTTGGGGGGTTCTTTTTAAAGTGCTTTGTTTTTGTCTTACAAATGACCAAAGGCCTTAGCAGCAAGCTGTGTGCTTCTGCTCTCTCGGGGCTGCCAGACTATGTCCGAGGCTGCTCAGGATGTTGTAGTGAGTGCCTCTGAGCTGGGCGACACTTTCTGTTCATTATCTTAACGTTTCTGCACAACTCTAGAAGTATTCTTGTCCCCATTTTATAGATGAGGAACCTGTGGCTGAGAGAGGTTTTTGCTCAGGATATTGTAGTGAGTGCCTCTGAGCTGGGCGACACTTTCTGTTCATTATCTTAACGTTTCTGCACAACTCTAGAAGTATTCTTGTCCCCATTTTATAGATGAGGAACCTGTGGCTGAGAGAGGTTTTTGCTCAGGGGCATATTGTTGACATGTGACAAATCTGGGGTTCACTACAGAAATGTCTGACTGCAAAGTGCATCCCCTCAAAACAAACTACACAGCATCTGCATAAAAGTAAAAACAGCCCCAGCCATGCTGACTTTTCCCGGATTTTTTATATATGTATGTATGTGTGTATGTATGCATGTATGGCTGCGTTGGGTGTTTGCACAGGCTTTCTCTAGTTGCGGAGAGCGGGGGCTACTCTTCGTTGCGGTGCGCTACTCCTCGTTGCGGTGCGCTACTCCTCGTTGCGCTCATTGCCGTGGCTTCTCTTGTTGCAGAGCATGGGCTCTACGGCGCAGGCTCAGTAGTTGTGGCGCATGGGCTTAGCTGCTCTGCGGCATGTGGGATCTTACCGGACCAGGACTCGAACCCGTGTCTCCTGCATTGGCAGGCAGACTCTTAACCACTGCACCACCAGGGAAGCCCTTCCCGGTCTTCTTGTTAGGCATTTATTGGAGCTAAAGTAAAGTATCTAACACTGACCCTTCGATATTACTGAAGTCAGTGTTGAGAGTAAACTGTGACATCTGCGAATGTGCACTGCCTTTTGCCAGCTTCCACATGGACCATAACACAGAAGTGACTGAAAGCTAAAGTAGCTGTATTATATACAGTCATTAGGTTTTGCTTTGTTTGAAGTTCAAATAGGTACAAAAGAGGCCTTATGAAAATGAAATGTTCCTTATGAAAATTAAATGAGATAAAAGAATTACATTAAAATAGAGCCGTGAGTAAAAATGTGTGAATAAACATATTTCCTTATAGTTACACACTTATTAGGATAATGCTTCATGCAAATTCCTACATAGCTGCTTTGGAGTTCTTCACCTGACCAGGGCTTGGTATCGGATTCATTAGTATGGTCAGTATGTGTCTGTTAACTCTCATCTGTCATGTTCTTTTGAAATGATCCTAAAAATCAACATGACAGGGCTTCCCTGCTGGCGCAGTGGTTGAGCGTCCGCCTGCCGATGCAGGGGACGCGGGTTCGTGCCCCGGTCCGGGAGGATCCCACATGCCGCGGAGCGGCTGGGCCCGTGAGCCATGGCCGCTGAGCCTGCGGGTCCGGAGCCTGTGCTCCACAACGGGAGAGGCCACAACAGTGAGAGGCCCGCGTACCGCAAAAA